ATAAACACATAGAATAACATGTTTCAAAGCTCAATTTTAAGAAATCAAAGCCCAAGGGTGTTTAATTCAAACTCAATTTAAACCATTTTTCAAGCACAAGATGAACATGCAAACATGCATGAATTCAAACCATTTCAAAGCTTCGATTTGATGCTCTAAAGAGCCAATTCTTTTCAAAACATGATGAAATCATGGACTACACTCAAGACATGAACATGCATGTAACATTTTGCCATGAACTCAACTCAAAATCCAACAATACTAACATGCATGCAAAGATTGAGCTTCAATCCACCATTAATGAACCAAATCAGGACTTAGCTCTACAAATTAACATGAACCATGCAAGAATCAACTCAAAACATGAACAAGAAAACAATGGAGCTACCTTTAGTCTTGTATTTAGGATAGGGAAGCTCAAATGTACAAAAACTCCTTCAATTCTTCAAGATTCTCAAGCTAAAACAACAAGAACAATTCTCTCTCTCTCTAACTCTCTTCTAGGTCGGTTAGAGGCAACACAAGAGCTGATGAAATGTTGATTTTTAATCAGATGCATTAAGTGTAATAAGCCTCAAAAGGTTTGAGGTAGTGGCCCACTACAAGGCTAGTTTGGTAAATAAGTCCAATTCATGCGATTAACTCATTTTAATCTAATTTAATCATACCTAATCAATTTTCAGATAATTATACCATAAAATCACATTAATTATGACGATCATAAAACATTAATCAATTCCGGATTCGGCCGCCGATAAGGCCTTCAATTAAACGCTCAAACATGAACAGATAAAATAAACAATCAACAGATAGAATGCAATTCAAACTATGAACCGATTGAGCGCAGCTGCCATGCCGGTGAGATGCTGCACTTCTTTTACTGAGTTTGGTCTCTCCAAATCCTGGATTGCTTTGATCTGAGAGGGGTCTGCTTCTGTACCCCTGTTGGTAACAAGGAAGCCCAGGAATTTGCCAGACCCTACTTCGAATGCACACTTGGACGCATTGAGGCGCAACTTGTGCTTCTTAAGGATCTCAAACATCTCGCCTAGGTCCTTGAGATGGTCATTCTCATCCTTGCTCTTGACCACCATGTCGTCGATGTAAGCTTCCATTGTTCTGCCTAACAACGGTTCAAACATCTTGGTGACCATCCGTTGGAATGTCGCCCCTGCGTTCTTTAGGCCAAAAGGCATGACCTTGTAACAGTATAGTCCTCATGGAGTTGTAAAGGATGTGACCTCCTGGTCCGGTTCATGCATGGCGATTTGATGGTAGCCTTTGTATGCATCCAGAAAGCTAAGTCGGTTGTGCCCCGCCGTTAGGTCGACCAATTGATCTATTCGTGGTAGAGGAAAGCTGTCTTTCGGACATGCCTTGTTGACCGTTTTGTAGTCGACATAGACACGCCACTTGCCATTCTTCTTTGGCACCACGATTGTGTTGGAGATCCATCTTGGGTAGTGCACCTCTCTGATTGCTCCTGCCTCCAGCAGGTTTCCTACTTCTTCCGCCACTATTTCGACATGGTGGAGTGCCGATCTACGGGTGCGTTGAATGATTGGTCTGGCAGATGGGTGGACATTGAGTTGGTGACAGATGAAGTTGGGATTAATGCTTGGCATGTCGTATGGTGTCTAGGCAAACACTTCGATATTAGAGGTTAAAAATTCCAAGACCTCTAATCTCTCAGTGCTGGACAACAATGAACCGAGCAAAAAGAACTTATCCGGGTTCTTTTCATCTATTCTCACCTCCACCAAGTCCTCCACCGCTTTCTAATCAGTTGCTCTGCCGACATCTGGGAATAACTCATTGCTCTCAGGTTCTTCCACCGAATGAACGTATCCTTTGGTAGCGTGGCTGCCATTCACTGTGACGAAGCATTGCTTCGACATGATCTGATCGCCATATACTTCTTCAATTACCCCGATATCGTTGGGGAACCGCATTACTTGGTGGTAGGATGACGCCACCGATCGCATGGCATGCAGCCATGTTCTGCCCAAGATGATGTTGTAAGTGGAGGGGACCTTCAATACCCAGAACTCCACTTGTTTCGTCACGCTTCCTGCTCTGACTGGAAGAATTATTTTGCCGACGGGCCATTCTGGCATGGAGTTGAATCCAATTAGGGGAGATACGGCATGCGCCAAGTCTTTGTCTTGTAGCTTTAATTGTTTAAATGTTTCGTAGTACATGATTTCACATGAACTACCCTGGTCAATCAAAATCCGCTTGACGTCAAAATCCTTGACTCGGAGAGTGACAACCAGGGCATCATTGTGAGGGCAATATATCCGTTCCAAGTCTTTATGCAAAAAAGACATGACGTTTGTGGCTTCTGTCTTCCCCTTCTTGATGGCAGGTTGGGCACTTAGCACCTCTCTTAAGTGTTTAGCCCTTTTGATTGATCCCCTGAGCTCGCATACACGCTTAGGTTCAAAGACTCCATGTATTACATTGATAATGCCTTGACGTGGGACGTCGACTGGCATCCCGTTGGGGTTATTATGGTCCTGGGGGGCTGGTTGCGTCCCTCCTTCAATGTATTTATCCAAGTGTCCTGCTGCCACCAACTCCTCCAGGTGCTGTCTCAATGGCGTGCAATTCTCAGTGCGGTGCCCATTTTCTTTATGGAAGGTGCACCGCGATCTTTCGTCGTAGTCCTTCTGCGCTTCCCCTAGTTTGGCTGGACATCTGATGAAAGGCTCATCCCGTATTTCACTTAGAATTCGGTAGATCGGTTTCTTGAAGACTATGGTGATGGCAGTGCGGATTCTCAACCATCTTTTATCCCGGTCCTATCCGTTGTCTCGCCTGCCTCGTCTGTTTCTGCTTGGACGATCTACCGCGTTGACCTTTGCTGAGGCCTTCTTTTCTGGTGCTGTGGTCGCGCCAGATTTTGCTTTGTCACGTGCGCCATCCTCCTCCACCCTGATGTGCTGATGCACTCTTTCTATCAGGGCTTCCATGGTGAGGGGCGGTGTCATGGTGATTGAGTCCCTTAGTCTATTCCCGACTGTAAGGCCTCTTTTGTACTGTGCAATGGCGAGATTGGTGGGGCAATCCCCAATCTTGTTGAATGTCTCCCAGTAGCGGCTATTGTAGGACCTTAGTGTCTCTTTTTCACCCATGTCGATGGAGAGTAACTGGTCAATCTCCACCGGGGTTTTGGTGTTTGTTCTGAACCTTGTGACAAACGCCTCCGCCCAAGAGGCTATGCTGCCTTCTGGAAGTTTTTCAAACTAAGTCAAGCCTAGATCGCCAAGGCTTGACGGGAAGAGGATGCACATTAGAGCCTCATTTCATCGATATACCGCCATAACCTGGCGGAAGTGGCTTAGGTGAATGTAAGGGTTCGTCTTCCCCTCGTATGTGGTGAATTTGGGCTGAAGGAAGCCTGAAGGCAAGGGCGCGTTTTCGATTGCCGGAACGAACGGCGAGGTCTGCAGCCTTGCTAATGCTTTGTCCGTCGATTCGTACGCAGGGCGTGGTAATGGCATTCCAACCTCGACGCTTCCATGCGATCGAGGAGCCAATCGTTGAAGGGCAGAAACTCTGCGTGGGCTGCGCGCCCTGGTGTCCTCCTTCCATCGTGCCTTTTCTTCCAGAATGATCCGCAAATCGGATGATCTAGGCAACTCCGTCTGTTTGGATGATGTTTGGTGCGAGTGTGAGGGTCGGTAGGTACTTCCCTCTGTGTAAGACCTCAATGATTTCGTTCTCTCAGACCTGGAGTAACGAGTTCTGGAGGTTCTAGACTGAGTATCGCCTGTCTTGAGGCTTCTACTCTCTGCTTGTGATGGTGTGGAATGCCTTCCATGGTCTTCTGAGTGGCGAGGGACGTCTTGTTTTTGTGCCCCTCTCCTGTCGCCACTCCTTTTCCCTTCATGTGGCGCTTCAAGGCCCCGCCGCCATCTTCCTTATTAATTCGTCTTGCTCCTTCACGCGGTCCTCCAGAACTTGAGGATTAATCCTCCGCCTTTGCCTGTCAGGACTTTGTGAACGAGAGTGATGGGGGCTGTTAGTCCACCTCCCCCTAGTATCCCTCCTGGAGTTATGTCGTTGGGGCTCCAAGTCCGCCATGGGTGGGATAGAAGGTAGTCCTTCACGCCTTGTACCCCCATCTGGTGTTTGCTCGTCGATGGCGGATTGTGGTAATTCTTCATTGTGTGCCATTGTTCCTGAAGAGGTAAAGCTTGATCAAGAGGTTTTGTCCTGTCTGTTTTTCCCATAGACGGCGCCAATTGTACGGGAAAGAAATAAACCTTCTCGCATAATTCTGTTGATCAAGTCTGCGCTCCTCCAAACGTCGTCGCTTTACTCCTTGAAAACACAAACGTGAGCTAGCCGGCGGGTGTGTGCCGGAAACCTCTCCGATGCCTAAGTCAGTAAGCTTGACAAATAGACAAAAGCTCTGTGTATCCAAAAAACAAAGTTGTGTTTCCTCTCCATAGCTGATGTTGTGAGCTTTTATAATTTTCGTGTGGCACAATCCTAGTAGGACTTTTACTCCTCCATGTAGAGTCCTCATAGGATTTATACTTCTGAAAGATAATGCTTATCCTTCAACACCCCCCTCACTGCTTAAACCAAGTGAGATGGTTCTATCATGGTAGGTTTCTAATAGGACCGAGGTAATCATGGCTATGCTGAGCCGCAGAGTAGGCCGAACTATCCTGAGTTCGGTTCTTCCTTTCACTACACCTTATCTCGGTTCTCTCATGTACAAACCATGGTGTGATTAGACCGAGCTACCGAATAGTAAGGTTCTGACCGTTCTAACCACAATACGCCATGACCGGGCTAACTCTGAGACCGGACTAACTTCAAAGCGTCTTTAGACCGGACTAACTCCAAGTCTCCTCCGGACCGAACTAGCTTCGGGGCTCTAGGACCGGACTAACTTCAAAGCCTTTTGACTCAGCTCTTCGTATTGTGGCCCATGACGGCCCATTACCCAGCTCGGCCCAATTTTCATATAAATTACCCTCTCAATTATGTTGGCGACCTGAAAGATTAGAAAAATGGATTGGTGGTTACTTATCCAATTCTATAAATTGGTGGTTAAAAGATAATTTTGCCTCACTTTATAAAACCAACAAAATTAACTTGTATGTCATAAGAATTTTTTTTATATAAATTTATAAATTTAATACCAATTAACTAATACCAACTAAAACCGTAGGGTTAGATATTTCTGCACCTCTGTCCAGGAATACGGATTCAATACATATGTTGGAAAGTTTCCATCAAAATTTTCTGTGTCAAAATTTAAGGGACCTGCAGAAAAAAAGTAAATAAATCTCAAATTCTGATATTCATGAGGCCAAGAAATCTTCCGCTTTTTTTCTTTTTTTTTTCCCCATACCCAGAAACATAATATCTTTAAGGTTTCATTTAATGATGAAAATTTTAAAATGTTGTCGTGAAAAAAAGTAGTAAAAATTACACTTTGAACTCGTGTAATCTGACCAAAATTCTATTTTAGTCATTATTATTTTAGTTTGAACAATATTAACCATGGACTTTAAATTTAGTTTTAATTTGGTCTTTTCGTTCAAATTAAAAAATAAAATTCATAATTTTTTTTTTATCAAGTGTCACTTATATAAGTAGTACACATTAAAAAAGTTGACTGTAATTTGGATTAATAACTAAATTGAAAATACATTTGAAAGTCTACTTCAAATCAAAATAATATATACCAAAATAAAATTTAGATCAAACTATAATGGTGAAAATATAATTTACCCAAAAAAAAGTTACTATCATCTTTTGCAGTATTTACCTAAGCTTTAGATCGATACTATCCCTTTCAACCTATTTTTTTTTTTCATTTTCTTCATATAACAAACCTAGGAGAGCCAAGCAAACAACATCCACATATGCATGGGATTGCAAAGTTTTCTGTGGCTCCAATTTGGGGCAGTTTTTAGTAAGTTGAAAACTAATAATCAGAATGCAAAAGTTACTATCATTTCTCTCCTTGCTTTTTTGATTAATTACTTTTTTTAAATTTAAGTTAATTTTTGTTTCATAAACGGTAAGCAGAAGTCTAGAGTCACCAATCGGGATTTGGCTACCGAGTTTTTTTTTCTTTCTTTCTTTCTTTTGCCATTTCAAGAAAAAAAAATGCCCATATGATGGGAAGGAAGGAAATCACCTATTTCATAGACAAGTCCAGAAAGCCAGAACAACCAGGTCCTCCAGTAAGCCAAAGCATCAGAGGGTCCTCTCTTGGATTGCCCTCTGACTCAATGAAGTAGTAAAATAGGTTTACAGCATCGGACTTTCCCACACTCACATTCACATATCTTAAAAACCCCAAAAAAGACACCAAATCAGAGTCCTCCTTTCTACATGTAAGTGTGTGTAAAGAAAAAAAAAAAATCTAGCAATACAAAAATCGATCACAGCCTCTCAATGAGATGGGTTGTGTTTAATTCTGTGATTGGTTTCTGTGCAAACATGAAGAACTACTAAGAAAAACTCACCCAGTTTCGAGTTTGAAGGGAAGATCACCTTTGTAGCCTGGTAGAGTCTTGACAATATGTGACAAAACAACACTGCAAAGAGACAACCATACTAGTAGTACAAGTTTGCATGATGCTGTTGAATGGATGTTACCATGGGTGATGTGAAACTGGCTCTTGAGGCAGTGTTGGCCTTGGATTGTCTGCATGTTAAACTGATAGATGGAATGGGGGAACAAGAACTGGTTTTCTTCTAGCTTGCAATGCGTGCAGTTTGATGGGAGTCCAATATTTTATAATGGAAGCTCACTGGAGCAGCTCTCACTATATGGAAAAAACACTCTTGGCGACCACTTTTTTTTAACCAGTCGCAAATAGTTTACTTTCTGCAACAAACATTTTTTTTTGTCGCTGATGATTTGTGTTTTTGCGACCAAATATTAATGTATTAATGTATTCATGTTGATAGGTGCTAGTAATTAGATAGATTAACTACAATTTTGACTTCCTTTCGATGGTTTTTTATTTTTAGATTGGATTGTTGATGGATTGGTATGTTGAAATTAATTGGATGAACATGAATTATGCATTAATTGCAAATGTATTACATGTATTAAAAAAAAAAAAGCATTGCAAATGTATTTTGTAGGCCTCGTGGGAACACATGACGGTGATACAAACTGTTCATCTCATAAATCTCGAAAAGAAAAATGTGTAAAAAAATTAGTTTTATCGAAAATCGATAAACATACTAATTAATTGTATTTTATTTTATCAAATTGACTGTAAATATGATTTAAAATTAAAACTATTTATTTTATAAAATAAAATACAATAAATTAGTATGTTTATCGATATCCGATTAAGCTATCCAACATGTGAATGTGTTGAGTTGCTATTTTGGGAATATTGAATAATTACTTTAATTTTAGTATAAACTATATTAATTTCTCTTGAAAGGCAAAGAAAATATAATTAGTCTCATAAATTTGATATAGTTACATTGGGTTGATTTAAGATTTTAATTTAAAATTTAAATAATACTTAATCCTTTTTTATCAATAGTTTATTTAGTTATATAAATAAATATTACTATCTATTTTATATTGAAATATATATTTTATACTGAATAGATACAAATACAAGACTCGTCAAGTATATTAGGCCCACAAATTTTACGTACTTAAAATTTGTGGGCCTGATACTTGATGAGTCTCGTATTTATATCTATTTTCTAGTGGTTGGTTTTGAGTCTATGATTTTTTTTGAGTTGATTAAATTAATCTGATAAATTTTTTGAATGAAAAGATTTCTGTCGATTGTAAAAAAAACAATTGAAGATATTTTGCTGACGGCCAACCATAACTCCCACTAACATTGCTGCCATTTAATTAGTTTATGGTAGTGCCAAAAAGATAGCCCTTTTGTGTTCATGTTTTGTGGCTTTTCCCATTTAATTCCCTGCCTTTGAAACTAATAATCTCGAGTTCTAGTGGTTTGTTGGTTGGAGTCCTTGTATTTTTTTAGATGATTAGTGATTTGAATTATTATTATTATTATTATTATTATTATTATTATTATTATTATTTAAATGTTTATTAAGGTCGGTTGAGGTTTATAAAAGCTTTTAATGTGGGCATACAATATAAAACAAAGTAAATAAATTTTGGGAGACTTATGTGTAGGTGCTAATAGATTGACTTATTGTTCAATATATCCTATAATAATTAATAGCGTTTTTCACCAAACACTATTAAAATAGTCACTAATTGTTAATTTTTAGTGACAATTTGAAATTTTTGTCACAAAAAATGTCACTAATTATAAATTTTAGGGACAGTTTAAAAAATTGTCACAAAAATAGTTACTTTTAGCGACAGTTTAAAAAATTTATCACAGAAAAACGTCACTAATTATAAGTTTTAGAGATAATTTATAAAAATCGTGACAAAAAAAATCACTAATTGTCAATTTTTAGTAACATATTCAAAAAATTGTCAAAAAAAATTATTTTTAACAACGATTTTACTAGAACTTATTTTCAATAGAACTTGATGGGAATTAAATCAAACTATTAGAACCTATTAGTAATTTACCCAAAATTCTAAAAGCGAGCTTTTAATATGGATCCATTTTTTTATTTTTTATTTTGGGCAAAATCAAACCGGTTTGTAATTTAAATTCTATTTAAAAATTTTGAACTTTCATATTCTTGAGTATAAAAATCAAATTATTAGCTTTATAATTACTAATCAGACTTACATAATTCAATTTATTAACCAAATTCATTCAATCATTCTTGTAGCATAGTTGATCAAATGTAAGATTTAATCAAATTCAATTTTAAGAAAATTATTTTCTCAAAAACAATTGTAATAGGTATAGTCAATAGCTCGAACCTTGAATAAGATTTTGTCAAATAAGACTATTCAATAGTGCCAACAGAGGGTGGTTGAGTTAGTAAAGATCGGACCTTTCGCCTTCAAGGTTTAGGTTCGATTCTCGCTGTAAGTAGTCCTCTTTGGTAGACGATCTATAAGTCGAATATAAATTCTCGCTGAGACCTGCAGCTTATCCTGGCCCTGGAGTAGTTTCCCCTCACCTAAACTTTTATTTACCAAAAAAAAAGGTATAGTCAATAGCATTTTATACACAATCTATATATTTAGAAAATAACCATCTATTAATTTTAAATAATTCACTACATAAATAAGTCGTCTTCTTCTTCTTCTTCTTTTTGTTTTTTAAATTTCTTTTTAGAGAGCTTTTTTAATTTTTATTTTTATAAACAAATCTAATAGCTAATAGTTTTTTAGTATCCTTTTCTCAACCAATTTTCACGGGCTCAAAGCGGCCGCTTCCTCAACTAGCACGGGTGTTTATGACTCATGAGTCATATTAATAATGTATTTAGTTAAAAATATTCTTTCTCACTTTGCATTATATTTCATATTGTGGCCCTATTTAAAGGTCGTTTGGTGTTTGCTTGATTGTTTTTTTTTTTTATATGAAAAGATATATAAAATAATAATAATAAAAAAAGTGATAGGATAACTTGTATGATTTTTTTAATTTTTTTATCTTATGTAGGGCTCTCAAACAATCCTAAGTATACTATTTAATTGGTCATAATTGTCTTGGCTGAATGGTTCCACTACTTATATCGAGTCTCAAAGAGCACAACTCTAACTCCCAAATCGCAAATCGCAGAACTTTGGACATATGGAAGCTTGAGGCGTTTCATACTCATTAGAGATGGAATGGTTCAAGTTTCTGAGGCCACTACTTCCCTTAATCTTTCATGATAGGGAGGTGGTTTGGAGAGTCTCATTTCATTGCATTTATTGAAATTGCACACTTTAGTTCATATGTCATCATGCAATGAAATTGCTTGAGTTGATGGTTTATGAACCAAGCTTGCTACTTTTTTGATTTGTTTATAAAAAGGAGGGGTGAGTTGTGTAAACAACCCCTGAGAATACCCTGTGCATGCTCTATTTGTTCTCTATTGCAGCAAGGTGAACTGGGCAGCAGTGGTCGGCAGGCCATTTTCCATGGCCGACAGGCCACCTTTGATGGTCGGCCGGTTGTCACTAGTGGCCGGCATGCCCTCATCACTGGCTGGCCGGCCACTGATGCATAATTCAGCAGTGTGTTTGTGAGGCAAAGTAGAGTTACTCTGGAAGTGGGCAACAGTGTATGTGTTCTTTGTGCAACAGAGGCTCTCTAGAAGCAAAACCATGGCCTTTTCGGGTGGAAACTGGGCATGCGCATGAGCATCCCTCGCTTCCCGAGGCAGAGTAATTAGCTTAGTACTTAACTGTTTAGCTTACTTACTTCTTTTAATTGCACTTGTGTTGTAATTGTATAATTAGTTAAAGTAGTTAGCTAGTTGTGATGTTGTAATTGTTAATTCACTAGAATAGTTAATTAATTTATATGTTGTTGTAATAATTAGTTAAGTAGTTTAGCTAGTTTATTCATTTTTTTTTGTAATAGTTAATTAATTAGCTTAGCTTTAGTTAGTTAATTCGCTAGTTTATTCATTCGGACTCTCTTTCGTGAGAGCGCAATGTAATAATGTGTATGTCTTCCAACCCCACATCTTTCTCCCTTTTATTTAATTGCTTATGATGGTTAGTTTAGGGACATCAAGTTTTGTTTAGCATACTTCATGTTTGCATCCACTTGTATTGCATGCATTGAGGCTCGGTTCATCATTCTAACTTGCATTATTAGTTTAACGTTTCTTTGAATACGTGCTTAAACCGCATGTTATCACATTGCATCATATGCCATATTAGTAGCCGAGCCTATTAAATTACATATCGCATGTATTGCATTATTCATATTGCATAGTTAGAAATCATGCATTTTTTCTAACTTGTTTATCTTTTTTGGCTTGGAGTACTAGGTGAGCGTTTATTCACTTCAGCATATTGTATGTTAGTATTGTCGTGTTTACCATGTTTGCCATGAGGCTAAGTGCTTAAGTGCTATAAACTATTTGTATGTCTGTGGACGGAGGCTAATTGCTTGAATTGGAATAATTTGAGTGATGTTTATATGCGATCGCTTTTTCAAGTAGTACATATTTCGAAACAAATTTTGAAACAAACATGAATCAAATGTTCTAATTCTTGCAAAGTTAGTCTATACCTGTGTGTATGCGCATCACATAGTAATGCTAGCCTAATAAACCGAAACAGGAGCATATAATGTAGATAAGATTCATATCATGAATAGTAGATGCTGATCTTTGATCGGGCGAGCGGGGGTGCTCAATTCATTCATAGCCTTCCCCTCTCGTACCTAAGTTCCTGAGCCAAGACAATCTTGGTGATGATAGACACGTGGCCTTTGCCACGAGTCATGGGTCTCTTAAATTTTTCCAAAGCAAAATATTTAGGTGGTTACTCTGTATGTGGTAAAGCAATCAATTTTTGGCAATTTGATTCAAAATTGATTTTCCAAAAGATTTGCCAGATTAGGACACTTTAGTGATTATCTATTTCACATTGCACTTGTGGAATCAGATATAGAATCGCGGGAGTTCGATATTGTAGGGCTTATTTCGCCTTTCAAAAGGAGGCGTGGAAAAGTTGAGCTACAATTTCTGGCGACTCTATTGGAAAATCTAGAGAACTTGACTTGAAATTCATGATGTGAAATTTTATCTATAGTTATATGTGTCTTTGCATAGCATTTGCATTGGTGCATTTAAGTCACAGTGTTTGCCATCTGCTATTCCTAGACGGTTTGTCGATGGCTTGCCTAAAAGCTTGCCAAAAGGCTGATCGGTCACGGGCTTTGCCATGATGGGAACACAATCCTTATATCTGGACTACCACTATACCGTT